ACCCGATAAGAAACCCGTTTGTTCTAAATGGGTGTTTACTATCAAATACCACAGCAATGGTGACATAGAAAGACACAAAGCTCGTTTGGTGGCTAAAGCATTCACTCAAACTTATGGAGAAGATTACAAAGACACATTTGCTCCTATTGCTAAACTTCATACTGTTCATGTTGTTCTTTCTCTTGCTACTAACCTCTCTTGGGATTTATGGCAGATGGACGTAAAAAATGCTTTTCTCCGAGGAGAACTCGAAGAAGAAGTTTACATGACGCCACCTCCTTGAATTGAGATTGAAGATGGCAAGGTTCTCAAGCTTAAAAAGGCGATTTATGGTCTGAAACAATCTCCCCGTGCTTAGTATCACAAGCTCAGCAAAAATCTCATTGGCAATAGTTTTAGAAGGTATGAAGCTGATCATTCGCTTTTCACAATTTAGGGGAATCATGTATTTTTTTTGTCCTCATTTATGTTGATGATATCATTATCTCGGAAAATGTTAAATCTGTTTTTGATATTAAAAATTTAGGTGAACTTAAAGTACTTTCTTGGCATAGAAGTATGTCGTTCTACTGAAGGATTATTTCTATCTCAAAGAAAGTACACACTTGATCTCCTTAGTGGTACATGAAAGTTTGGAGCTAAACCAGCAAAAACTCCAATTGAAGAAAAGTTCAAAGACTCTCGAGAGGGGGAACCTAAGGGAGAACCTTATGACAACATTGGACAATACCGAAGAATTGTGAGTAAGCTCATTTATCTCACAATTACTCGTCCTTATTTATGTTTTGCTGTGAACCAGGTTAGTCAACATATGCAAGCTCCCACTATCAACCACTGGAATATGGTGGAAAGAATCCTCAAGTACTTGAAGGGAACTCCAGGAAAGGGCATTTGGATGCAGAAGAATGGCCATACTGAGATTATTGGCTACTGCGATGCTGATTGGGCTGGAGACAAGACAGATAGGAAATCAACAAGAGGCTATTGCACGTTTGTTGGTGGAAATTTGGTCACTTGAAGAAGCAAAAAGCAGAAAGTGGTGTCAAGATCAAGTGCTGAAGCAGAATATCGATCTATGGCTGACACTACAGAAGAGCTCATTTGGCTTAAGGCGTTGCTATTGGATCTCAGAGTCAAGACAACTCAACCTAATACCATGCATTGTGACAACCAAGCGGCTATTCACATTGCCTCCAACTCTGTATTTCATTAGCGTACGAAACACATCGAAGTGGATTGTCATCATATTCGTGAGAAGGTTGAACTTGGGATCATTTAACCTGCTTACACTAAGAGTTCTGATCAACTTGCGGATATCTTCACCAAAGGAGCAAATTCAAAGGTGTACAACTTGATTCAAGGCAAGCTTGGCTTAGTTGATCTTCACCAACCTAGATCTTCACCAACCTAGAATGTGATTGTTGTGCTCTTTTTCCCTTAACCATGGTTTTTCCCATTGGGTTTTTCTAGTAAGGTTTTTAATAAGGCAACTCCATTCTTGGCTTAATCTCCTTCTACCAAGCTTGAGGAGGAATGTTGGAATAATAATTTAATGTCCTTCTCTCTCCCTCATGCATGAAGTCTCATTTTCTCTCCTTTATGCATCTCTTCTCATTATGACTCTTGTAACAACTAGTTTTTCTCATCTCTCTCTATATATTTTGTATCTTCTTGTACAAAAGAGATTAAGAGAAATAATATACAGTTCCTCTCTATTCTTCTATTCTATCCATTCTTTTCTCTTCCGCTTACAAATCTACAAACCTGCCTCTTCAAATGGATGCACCATCTCTGTCAGCTTTAACAAGCTGGTTTTGGTCTTCTTCTTCACAGGCGAATCTAGAATGTTAAGGATCTCTTTCACTAAGTCTAACGTTGAAGATTGCTCGGTTTGATTCCTGTTTCTTCTGCTCCCTATCAAAGCTACAGAGGAGAAAGATGAAGTTTCTGAAGTAGTCTCTAAAGAACTAGAACTGACTAATGAATTTGCTGCAGGTGCTGAAGAGCTGGAACTATCTGAATCTGAGTCTGATGTAGCATTATCTGTCCTGTTAGGTGATGAGAGAAAGATGTTGCCTGTAGAAGCAGGTTCAATGCCAGTCGTACACCCAAGACTTTCCTCACCATCAACAGTGGACAAAACTGCAGGTTCGTTCTCTGGATGGGTCTGCAACAATGGCACAAGACTTATTTGAGCGTGGAAGCCCCTTTGGTCCAGTGGTTGACCAAGGGTGTTGATTATGCTTCTACATCAGGAGGTCTGGGGTTCGAATCTCAGATATTGCGATTTATTGGTGGAAGTCCCACCCGGAGGTTCTGGTTTCAATTCCCGGAGAACGTGTCTTATCGGTCAAGTTTACATGAGATCTTCAGCATGGTGCTGGTGAAACCACTAGATATGGATCTTCATAGAGAGATGTAATATTTCTCATAATTTGTAATAGAATAATAAAATCAGTGTTAAAAAAAAAAGACTGATTTGAGCAGGAAGTGAACCAAATTGAATGTGTGGTGTTGGTGTTTGAGTAGGTGCAGGAGACGATTCCACTGTGACAGTAGATCGCAAAGGAGAGATTGTATCTGAAACAACTGCAGGATTTGTAGTTTTGGGCTGAAAACTTTGTTGCCAAGCAGTTGTCAAAAGCGTGGTAGTTGATTCTTGCAGGTGAAGATAGATATCTGAGAAAGGAAAGGATTGCTCATCAAAGACGACATGCCTGCTTATATAAAATCTACCTGTGGTAGGAAGAAGACACCTATAGCCTTTATATTTATCATTATACCCAAGAAACACACATTTTAGAGAACTTGGATCAAATTTATGCTGAGCATAATCTCTTAACATAGGATAGCATGCACATCCAAACACTCTCAATGCTTGATACTCTGGTGTCTGTCCATGAAGCAATTCATAAGGACTTTTAGGACTATCCAATGATGTATGTGGAAGCAAATTACTTAGGAAATTTGTTGTGTAGAATGCTTCAACCCAATACTTCTAGGAGTTTTGCTCTGAAACATCATTGCTAAACCAAGCTCTGTGATGTGTCTGTGTTTTCTCTCTTTTAAGCCATTTTGCTGAGGAGTATAGGGACAACATATATATTGTTGGATCCCATGTTGTTGGAGATGATTCAGAAACACATTGCTTTTAAATTCTCCTCCACCATCACAACACACCAATTTTACTTTGAAACTGATTTTCAACCAAAGACTGAAATTTTGCAAAGATGGAATAGAACTCTAATTTCTGCTTTAATGGATAAAACCAACAGAAGTGAGAGTAATTATCAATAAATATGACATAATATCGAAATCTTTGAACTGACAAAACAGGAGAAGGACCCCAGAGATCACAGTGTATTCTCTCCAAGGGTCTAGTTGCAACAAAAGAGGAAGCTGAAAATGGTAGTCTACTGCTTTTACCAAGCTGACAAGCTTCACAAAAGGACTTGTTGTTATTATTAATGACAAGCAACTTTGAAGAAGATAACTGTTGGAGAACTTGTGGATTTGGGTGGCCTAGTCGTCTGTGCCAAACATCAGCAGAAGCAGTAGTTTGCCGAGAAGAATAGAACACCTGAGGAGTTTGGTTCTCCAACACATACAGTCCATCATGGCTGCTTCCCTGAAGAAGAAGCTGCTTTGTTGCCTTATCATGCACACACACCGTATCACAGTCAAACGCAAATACACAAGGATAGTCTTTTGTAACCTTTGAGACTGAAAGCAAAGATTTAGTAATGTCAGGGCAAACCAAAACATCTTTAAGAGGAAGATTACCTGATGATGATGCGAGATTAGCAGATCCTGTGTGTGTAATAGGCAGAAAATTTCCATCACCAACCATTACTGTGTCAGAACCAGTATAAGACTTAGGTTGCTGGAGATGGTATGGAGAATTGGTGACATGAGCTGTTGCACCTGTGTCTGGAATCCATTCATGACCTGAGCTCTCTGAAACATCAGTTATGCGAAGTACAGTCAAAGCAGAAGGAAGAGCTTCATATTGGTAGCTGTTGTCAAATCGATGACAACATAACAAAGCAGGATGCCCACGCTTGCCACAAATCTGACAGAGGGGTCTATCATCTGAGCTACATGTGCTTGAGGAATCACTGTAGTTTGAAATCTGCTAATGGAAGCCACGACCTCTTGTAGAGAAAGATCCTCTGCCTCTGGAACCTCCAAAGCGTCTGTTACCTTGACCTCTTCCTCTATTAGAGTAGTAAAGACTAGATGAGGGCTTACATTGGGTTCTGCAGAGTAAGCTTGCAGCCTATCATCATAGCTAGTAATCCTTGGAATGACATCCGTAAGTGTTTGTTAAGAAATATCTATAGATCCTTCAATACTTGTTTTGATGGGTTCATATTCCTTACCTATACCATGTAAAGCCGCAAAAATTTTCATCTTTTCAGGCACAACACTACCAACGGAAGCTAACTGGTCACATACGTTCTTAAGGTCCTTAAGATAGTCTTGCATAGATCACATACGTTCTTAAGGTCCTTAAGATAGTCTTGCATAGATCTATCTTTCTTTTCTAGAGTTTGGAGACGTCGTTGCAACTCAAAGAGACGAGAGGATGAAGCTCTATTAAAGTGATTTGCAATAGTTGTCCATACCTCATGAGAAGTAGAGCAGTTAACAACAACACTGAGGATGTCTTCAGCAAAGGATCCAAGCAGCCATGACTTAACAACTCTATCCGTCTTGAACCATGTCGAATATTCTGGGTTTACTGCCAGAGAAGTTGATCCATTGATTCCAGGAACATCGATGGTGGAGCTTGGAGCTGTGATGGTGCCATTGACAAACCCTAGTAACCCTTGTCCATCCAAGAATGACTCGAACTGAGATTTCCAAAGAATGTAGTTCTTCTCAGTGAGTCACAGTAACACAGTTTTAAATTTTTAGAAGAGGAACAGAATAGAGCTCCATGGATCTACAGCCTGGATGCTCTGATACCATAAAGGGAGTTTGAGATATGAGAAAAGATGAACTTTTAATCTTTCATTTCGATAACTGTTAGGGTTTTACAATGGTGATAAATGTGTATTTATACACAAAGATAAAAGCTTGAAAACCCTAGAAGACCAGGACAGGTGTCTTCATCCTATTGCATCCAATGAATCAAGGGCAGAGAATTGATTACTCAGCTTGATCACCTCCGTACCAGCTTTCGTCATTTCTGCAACTCTGTTCTTGTTTTGCTTGTCGTTATTTGGATTTGAAGGAGACAACCGTTGACGCTTGGACGACGTCGTTTGTGCACAGGTGGGCTCTATGGGCTCTTCTTTAGTTTCACGGCCCATTATTAAAAAAGTCCACCTCAAAAGTGGGAGCCTGGAGGGCTCGTTTCTGAAGAGCAACGACCGCATCAACAAAATCTTTTTTAGTTGGAATCGCACTCATCTTCTTGAAAGTCGTCATCTTGTTCACCATCTATCTGCTTTATCCCCATCACCAAATATATATATATATCAATTACTCTTCTGATTGTTTTGGACAGAGACAAAAAAACTCCCACTACGCGATAAGAAATTTCAACCCGACACCCAAGACCTAACTGGAGTTTCTACAAACGTGTTCATCAGATCTGAAAGAATCTTATGAAAATAGACTAAGACTAAGGACAGAGAAACTTACCACAGATCCAAAGGAGAGTTTCGCCTGAGAGAAATTTTATGTATAGCACGATGGAGGAGGCGCAACGACCCACTACTCTAGGCCAACCTTTTATATCGCACAGACTAAACTAGGGTTCGCCACCACAACGACAACATGTTTCCATTAATTTTCGTAAAGAAAATTTTATATGCGTATAACTTTCTTTCTTTTTTGTAGGCCTTTTCCATTAAGAAGAGATCACAATTGGTGAAGTTTACAAAATAAGCCGAAAACGATGCCACGTTTTATTGCTACCGGTTCACTTATTCCACCGGTTAACTCCGGCTATCTTATTTTAATATCGGTTATTCCAATTTCCGGTTTAAAATCCCTAATTGTGTGTAAACCGGTTTGGTATGCCTAAACGGTTTCCACTTCACGTTATATGTAATGGCCACCGCTAAACATCAACATCAATATCAATGAAGATTTGATTCTCTTTTTCACCTTTCTCTCTCTATGACTGCGTAACAACCTCCTGATCATTCCTCCATTGGTCGATCTTCGAAGGTCATGTTCTTCACATACTCGCTTCCAGGTCTTTGATTTCTTCTCTGAAACCGGATTCACACTGAGATATGTAGCCCCAACATTGTCGTAGTAAATAACAGGAGCTTTGGGAAGCTGAATATGTAGTTCTGTTAACAAGTTGCAGACCCATCTCAATTCTGCAGCGGCATTTGCTATTGCTCGATACTCAGCTTCCGCAGGGGATAACGTTGGAGAATTAAGGAAAGAGCTGGCTATGATTCAACAGAGGTTTCAGTTGAGTCTGCCTCAAGAAAGCTATTTTTTTTACATATACAAACAGAATGTAATGGATGATGACCGGTCATTCCGGTAGCACCGTGTTGATCACGGCGACACAATTGAGATTTTCAGCGGAAGTGTTTCCGGTGGCTCTTAATACCCTCAGATTCTTTCAATTCTTTAGCTAATTGTTTAAGATCAAATGTCTTCAGTAAGATCTCAAATCTTTGCCAGGTACAAGCATAAAGAGTTGACAAAAGGGAAGCATAGGATGCTGTGTGATCACATGTGAAGGAACGAGATCTAAAAGAGGAAATGGCCGTTTGGTGTAAGAGAGTCAAGCTTACTCTATTGGGTAAATGTTGGGAAGCTCTCCATCATGTCACTTTCTCTTATGGCCGTTAACCTTTATCTCTCTTTCTCTAGTATCAACACTTAACCTAGAATCCCTTATTATGTAACCGAGAATATCAAATGAAAAACAATGAGTTCTTGCAAAATATTATCTCTATTCTCTCTAGCAACATGATTTACTTTTTTAACAAAAAAAAAAAAAAAAAAAAAAAAACATGATTTACTTTTAATCTCACTTCCGCTCAAACACTCTCTTAATCTCTACTAAACTCAACATGACCTACGGCCTGTGGCAACCGAAAACAGAAATTTCGGTCCAGTTATAAAGGTGGAAGCGAAGAGAACCGACAATGGATATTCACTTGATGAGTTATTTGCGCCGGCGACGGTTGGGAGTGAAGGGAGTTTGAGATATGAGAAAAGATGAACTTTTAATCTTTCATTTCGACAACTGTTAGGGTTTTAGAATATAATATGGAAAACTACCCTAAAAACTTGGAGATTGCGTAAATTAATTTGTAAAGTCAATATTCAGAAATTTATAAGAAACTTAATCGCTGATGCTAATATTTGAAATTAATAATCCATAAAAACATAGATTACATAAATTAATTAAATAAGAATATTGGTGTGAATCAATATTTTCTCATTTTCAAATATTTGTATTAAAAATTTTAAAAATGGGTATTTACATTTTATTTTAATGTTTTTGGAAAAGAAAATAATCGAATTTAGAAGAATGTATATTCCAAAAGCTTGTAACAATTTGATTTGAAAGAGATAAATTTATATGGCTCTAAAAATATAATTTGGAGATATAGTAACTATTATAATACGTTTTATTCTATAATTCAAATTTAGTTTAGTGATATATTTTTAATATAATAAAAACTACCCGTTTAAAACAAAATATTTCAAACTTTTATATCATTTAAATTCTGATTAAAATTTAAAATATTTTAATCTATACTGTAAATATTTTCTAGATATTTACAAATCTAAAATCCAAAAATTATTTGTTGAATATGCTATATTTTAAAGGATGGTAGTAGTTAGTTTAGATAATATATGACAAATATGATAAAATTTTATTATATTTGGAAAATCAAATTTTTAAATCTTTTTTTCATGTGTACTAATCAGAATTAATTAGCATAGTTTTGTTAAGAAATTTTTTTAAAATTAAACTAAATGATAATTTAATATTTAATTAGATTGAAATATCTAATAATATATTATGAAAATAAATAAGTTTAAATATATCCAGTTTCAAATTAAATAGCTTGATTTGTTATGGAATCTTCCTTAAATGATTTCCAAAATATAGGGTAGTTATTGATTTAATTTTGATATTTTTTTTAATCCAAGATCCGCGTGTTTATCCGACTATACCAACAGGTCAACCCAAGATCCGCTGGCTTTTTATGATTAAATTATCTCAATTGTCCTTTTTTGACCCTTTTTTTTTCTTTCTTCAAATTTAAAAAATCCAATAGCATACTATGTAATATTTCTACAACTTAAATGTCTTTTATTATTTAGTGATTCCCAATTAATAGTATAGATATCGTGAGGGTGGAAAAAATTTATTCTTTAAACCATAATATCCAAATTAAATATAATATCATTTGTTACCATCTTATTAATATCATATGATCAATATACAATATATACATTATATATATATATATATATATATATGTTCATATTTAAAAGGCGTAATATATATTAAACATATTTTAGAATGAAAACATATAAAATATTGATATAATCAATATCAAATTTCAATTTCTATATATAAGAGATAAATTGTTAAAAATGCCCCTTTTTCAATACCCCTTTTCAAAAATGCCCCCTTTGAGAGTCCATTTTTAAGTTTGCCCTCTTTTAATTTTTAATGACAATTTTACCCTTATTTGAAACAAAATTAGGTCCACAAAATACAAAATATTTTTGGCGGAAAAAGTGATCCGCAATTTTCCCGCCAAAACACTTGTAAAAACTTGTAAAACCTTTAAAATACCTTGTAAAATTTTCCGTAAAAATTATTCCCGCCAAAAAAATTTACCGCCACAAGTGATTCCGCAATTTTTTTGGCGGGAAAAGTTTTAGCGGAAAAAATTTACAATGTATTTTAAAGGTTTTACAGAGTATTTACAAGTGTTTTGTAAGGTTTTACAATGTATTTTAAAAGATTTTACAAGGTACTTATAAGGTTTTATAAGGTATTTATAACTTGTAAAACCTTATAAAAAACTTGTAAAACCTTATAAAATAGCTTGTAAAATCTTATAATATCTTATAAATACCTTATAAATACGTTGTAAAACCTTATAAAATACATTGTAAAACCTTATAAATACCCTGTAAAAAACCTTTAAAATACCTTGTAAAATTTTCCCGCCAAAAATTTAACGTCAAAAAAATTGCGGAATCACTTTTCCCACAAAAAAAAATTTTTGGCGGGAAAATTTTTTACGGGAAAATTTTACAAGGTATTTTAAAGGTTTTACAAGTTTTTACAAAATCAAATTTGTAATTTTGATGTGTGCACATTCTCATGTTTTCCTTATATATTTGTGATATCTTTTATTAAAAGAATGGTAATTTAGTCATTTTGTACATAAAAATGGGTATTTTTAAAAATAGACAGGCAAATGGGGCATTTTTGAAAAGGGGTATTGAAAAAGGGGCATTTTTGTGAGTGTCCCAAAATAATATCTCAGAAACACAGTTTTCCAACTTTTTCTACATTTTTTTTTTGTTTGTTTTTATCATTTGAAAATAAAAAGAAAAATCAAACTATATTATGCTAAATAATTAAAAACTAATTTGAAATATAAGAAATGTATCTCCTAAACACAAGCTTTGGCCCATTGGTTGATCAAAGGTTGATTAATGCTTCTACACTAAGAGGTCTGGGGTTCGAGTCCCAGATATTGCGATTTATTAACAAATTTGCAGATTAATGGAGGCAAGTGTGCAGGAGATCTCCAGCGATGTACAATTATAGCCGTGCGCCAGGATTCTACGCAGAGAAGGAAGTGTCGCTAGGTCGTGGATCATTGAAGGTATTCATCAAGATCATGAAGAAGGAAGTGTAGTCTGTCGTGGATCTACTAAGGGTCGGCAGAAATTGTCAGTTGTAGAATCGTCTATGTAACAGTTCTCATAATTTGCAATTAATAATAAATCTAGACGGCAAAAAAAAAACACAAGCTTTGAGAAGCTGACATGTGTCAATGACATGTGTCATCTTTCCTATTGACATGTGTCTTTCCTCTTAATCTCAAATAAATTATTATCTATTTTTGTTAATTTTCTCTCTATTATCATAATTAAATAACTAGATTTTAACCCGCGGTACACCGCGGAATGATTTAATTTTAAAGTTAGTATAAAAATATTTTGTAAATTGTATGTCCTTATAACATATTTATTTATATTATAGTTTACAATTGTTATTAAGTAACAGTATACCACGAGTCCACGAGATAATTATTAATAAACTGAGGATTTAACCAGTATTAAAGCGGTATATAAATATTGATTCAAATTCGTCCGCCATATAAATCATTTCCGAAATATAACCCGTTCCGTAATTTCTTAACCCGTCCTGTGATTTGTATTAAAAAAAAAGGATTAAATCCGTATTGAAGCGGCGGATTAATGATATTTTAATCTTTTTATTATTGTTGATTTAAAAACCCGTCCCGCCAAACCCATCCCGCCAAAAAACTCATTTATTTTATTAATGTTCTTATTTAGACAATGATTCTGAATCATTGTCTAAATATTTTAATCGATGTAGAACGTTGAACACACATTTTCGTCAATTGGATAATATATGTCCGTTTTTAAAATTTCGAATCACAGTACATGCAGAAAAAAAATTGATTTTTTTTTTTTACTTTATGTATTATATGATGATTCAAAACAGTTAAAAACAAATCAAACAAAGATGATAGGAGAATCATAATTATAAATCTTAATCAAATCTTCTAAAAATCAAAATTATTAAATATGGAATATCCAGTGTATGAGTTGGGTTAAATATAACCCGACCCAACAAATTTTTTGTGAAGGAATTTTTAAAATGGGTCGGATATCCGATATACCCGAAAGCTTTTTTACCCACCCGTCACAAAAAGTGCTGCGATTATACTAGTATAGATATCTCAAAAACGCACTTTTTTACTTTTTCCTACATTTTTTTTTGTTTTCTTTTTCATCATTTGAAGTTAAAAAGAAAATTCATAATATTTTATGCTAAATAATTGAACATATAATTTGAAAATTTTGTTTCATTGGTTTATCTTTTTAATTTGGAGTTCTAATAACAACAATTATTTGGTATTTCATTATTTTGATAAAATTAATAACATTTATTTCCAATTAACCACAATGAAAAGACATTTAATCCTACTAATTCAAAAGAAATTAAGGGGTGAGGATTATTACTATAAGATTACATATTACAGTAATAATATCACAAAATCATTAAAAAATTAATAGTTTACGAGTTAATAATGGATATTCGAAAATATAATATATTTTCTAACTAATTATAATTAATTAAATTAAAAAATGAAAACAAAATAATACTATAGACTATAACATGAAAGAAACTAAAGCAAATATAATCTCAGTTCATTGATATACACATTAATTCTACATATTACTTGTCTGTTTACAATTGAAAGTAAATAGCTAATATGAGTAAAAGAAAAAAGAAAAATGTAATAACGAGATAGATAACAAAAGAATTAAACTTTACATCTCTAACACGAATCTCAAAGATAATCTACGTTACATTTTATTTGTCTTTAATTTGTAAAGGTATCACAATGAAAAGACCAAATAAATCATTTCACTATCAAATTATGAGTTTAATGACACCATATAATTTATGTAGTTAATACTCCACAAAATCTAATAGTTTACAATCATTTGTTATAAATAGTAGTTCTTCTCTTCACTACAAGTCTACAACTCACAAATTTACGCTATATTTCTTCTTCTATATATACAAAAGAGAGTAAATTTTCTTTATATTTTGTGAGATATTTTTTTTCGTAGTTTTCTTGAATTTACAAGTGAGTTGTGTCACATAAATTCACAGTCTTCTATGTCCATCATGAGGTGGTTGTTACCCAAGTCTTTTAAAAAGACAACTAAATGAGAAAGGTTGTATGATTTTAGTTATTGAAAAGTCGATGTTTCAATGTTAGTTTCTTACTTGACCTAATTCTTTCGATTTCTCATATTATTTTTTGCTTACATATTTTGCATTCCACCAACACTTGCAAGAATATATGGGAAGTCATATATCAATTGTAGGTGTCAATGGTTCCTCAACATGCTAATTGTCGTCACCAACATAATGACTGAAAAAACAAGGGCGTGCATATAAGATCAATGATCTTCCACTCAGGTAAGTCATAAACCCATTAAGAATCAGACTTAATAAAATATTTTATTATATACTAAAAAAGGCAGACATTAGCACTTTCAAACTTCTTTTTATTTAACAACTAAAAAGATATGATCATTTAGTATGCACTTGAAAGAAAATTTCATACCGTGTCAATTCTATTACTTTTTCAGTTTATTTCTTAAAAGCCCCATATCAACTCTATACCAATAGTAAAAATGAGACCAAAGTGTGCTTCTTTAACTAGTTGGATCCGATTACTTTCTTCTTATTGGTTAAACTTGTGTTTCTTTATACTTTTCAAAAATATTTATAGATATTATCATTCACATTTGTAAAAACTCACAAAACAATCATTTATTCCCAAAAAAAAAAAAAAGAGAAGAGAGAACTCTCTTAGATCTTAGAAAGTCTATTTTTTTTTTGCTTTGAATCAACCATTATTTTCGAGAAACTATATAGACAATATATGGCAAATATCCGAGAAAGTATTGCCGATATGCTATGGGAAAATCGAAATAATATATTTTGATTTAAAATTTTTTAAAAAAATTTGTAGTATTTATTAAAAAGATATGTTATTAATTATTATGAGAAAATTGTTAAAATTAATTTTTCTGGTTTTTGTAAACACTTTTGCATACTATGGTACGCTTTTAACCATTCAAGTGATAAATTCTAGCGCATACTATTGTATGCTTTAGTGCATTCTAAAGTATGCATGTCTCCATACCAAAATGTTGGTATGCATATCTCTTAGTATGAAGTATACCATTGAACCATTCAAGGCCTAAGTATATAGTTTCAAACATTTTTATTTTAACCAGTTGTATGTTTGAAAAATAATAAGATAATGGCGATTTTTTTCAAACTATGCCTAAATTTATCGTATTTTGGAAAATGATCACCCATTAAAATCAATTATTAAGTCAATTCTATCAGTTTATCCATTCATTTGAACATTCATGTTTTCATTTGAATAAAATAGATATCATTCTTAAGTTAAATAAAGGGGTTGCCTCGTTATTTATTTTCTCCAAAAAAAATTAATTTTGTTTTTAATTTTCTTACACCAAAAGACATTTATGTATATTTCTTGTATGAAAAAACAAGAAGTGATATTTCGAATCGATATAATCAGGAAAAAATGGATAGTGCCCACCAAGTGTTCGACAAAAGTTCACAATACCATAATTCACGATTTTGGGTTTCTTTGTGGAAGAATTTTCGCGCTCAATTCTTAACAGATCACGTGACCCTCACGTCAACAAACCAACTAACTCTTGACCCATAGATTCTTCTCTTCCACGCTTCCTCATTTTCTCTCTCTTTGCTTTTTATATTTTCTCGAGAAAATCAAGAAAGAAAATCGCCATTGTTGCTTTCTCGGAGAAATCAGTCAACGAAATCATGGAGATGGATTCATCAGAGGTTCAAGAAGTGGAGAAACTCGAAGAAATTGATCCGTAAATAGTAAAATCTCATCATCCAAGTATATTTATGCTTCGTCCTTAGATTTTCTCTGAGAATTTTCGTCTCTTTGGTGTTTATCTATCATTCAGAGATCTCTCAGACTCGAATACAGAGGAATCTGAAGAGGAGATACTCAACGAAACTTCTGTTTCAGCTCTTGATATGATACTAAAGGTTTCACAAACTTCACAAACCAAAAGACTCTGTTTTTATCGTTCTTGTTTCTTTGATTAATGTTTTCAAGAATGTGAATTTATGCAGTCTCTGTGGAACATTAGAGTTTTCTTAAGCACTTTGTTGATGGATTATGTTCAAGAAGCAAATCAGAGCCTCACAAATGATGAATCTGTTCCTCTAGAAGACATTCTTCGTATTTTTCTACTCAACAATCTCAGTCTCACTCATCCTCTGGTCTCTGCTCTGATCGATCTTTAAACCTTTTTCTTATGTGTTTTGTCAATTACTTCTTTCTCACGCTTCATATGTTCTTTAGGAAGAAAACGGTGTTTCTAAACTGTTTCTAAACGTCTTGGAGCTTATCCCTCGCTGGAATTCACACTTTGAAGTGAACGAAGTCGCGAAAACGATTTGCATTAGATGCAAGACTGATATGGCATATTCAGGTGAAAGGTCTTATGGTATTATCATCAATGCTAATTCACTCAGAGTATTCAAGGCAAGTCATTTCTTTTTTCTCTTATCTTTTAAAGTGGAAGAGAGTCCTTAAGCCTTTCATGAGATTGATGCTAGAAACGTTTTTGGGTAATCATAGTCTGCATTCAAGGATTTTGCATTTGAGAATATCCTTAAGGCCATCAGGATCAATGTAAAGAGGCTTTGTGATAAGGAAGGATGTGAGAAACGAAACTACGTCGATACTATGATAAGTAACCTTCCATCTGCTTTTATTGTTGGTAAGCCTATGATAAGCTTTGGATTGTTGATTGGTTAGTAGGCATTAACAACAAAATGCAGTAGTTTTGAGCAATGTTTTCTCGTATTGTTTATAGCACTTCAGTGGGAGAACAATGAGACCGAAAAAGAGATTTTGGACACAGCTTCTGTTCTGGCGACTGAAATAGATATTAGTGCCATATACCGATACGAAGGCGACAGTGCGTTTACCAAATACCGTCTTGTCTCAATGGTAAGAGGCCAATTATATAATTTGTTTCAGTTTCATTCAAGTTTCCTATGTTTACCAATGTTAAATATTCAGGTTTGGTCGCATGGAGATCTATACAACTGTGTAGCTTATGAAAATAATAGATGGGTCAGACATTTTTGTTCTGAGATGGAGGTAAAACTTTTAGACATTTTTGTAAAAGATAAGCAAGTTACTTGGTCTGTGACTGAGTGATGTATTTTGGTTGTCCAGGTTATTGGAGACTGGGATGGTGTTCTCAGCAGTTTTCGAGAACTGCATATTCGACCTGAGATTCTATTCTTTGAAAACGTAAGCTCCTTCACCTGCGTATATATTTGTTTTCCTATGTGTGTTTTCTCAATTCCACCTACTTGAATTGCAGGCTATGCCGAGGGACCAGATGTTTTCCGAGCAGGGATCTGAAGACTGAATAGAAGCTTTTTCAATGGTGTAGGAAAGGGATTCATGTATGAAGTCAAAAGCTTTTTAGGAGTTAGTATAGATTTTGATTGTGAACAGATTTTTCTGTGTTTTCTTCAGCCCAAATTTAGCACCATGATTGTTATGATCATTGAATAGTAGATACTTAGATACCATTTTACCAAGTTCAACACTTGTATGTAGATACTATCCTTTTTACGTTGGAAGAATATGAGAGAAAGTAATTGTAGAAAATCATGAAGAAAGAAGCCTATTAACCAAAGCAAAGTTCTTATGGTGTTAGTTGTAAAAAGAACCAGTTTGTCAGTCTCAAACATGAAGCTTTACCCTTTAGCTGAAGAGGTAAGCCGAAAAAAGTTGCCTTTGTTTTTAGGTTTTGGGATGGTACTGATCTGGTTGGTTTTCATAGCAGTGGATAGTTTCTGCGGTGGTACTTGATCGACTTGAAAGTTCAAGGATTGATTTACTGAACAACCTCATCGATCTTTTATGTTTTTCTTTTACATTCTTCTGACCAATGAAATAACTCAGCCGGTTGGTTTGATTTTTATACAGAGCTTTCATCTTACTTCTGGTGTGCTCTTTCACTTGTTGGCATCACAACAAAGCAAAGTTAGCTGAGCAGAAGTAGATGATATATTTGAAACGTCTGAACAACCATTTGATGTCACCTCTATAGAAGATGAGAATGTTTAAGTAGATAGATCATTAATAAACGCATAAAACAGAGTAGTCATAAGTCAGACATAGACATGCATGGTAGATAGATACATAGATATCCTAAAAATAGACAGAGCGTTTGGTGGAAACAACTTCACATTTCAATTCTACGCTTAATACAGAGTACTCCTAGAGTAGTAGACATGGCATGGTAGATAAACAGATATCCTAAAAGAAGGGATTGTTTTTGATGGCCTTAACAACTTCACATTCGATCTCTACCTTCAACGTATCTTCGCGGTCCAAGTAAGCCTCCTGAATTTTAGCACAAGGCATGGATTGAGGAAGACCATACGCTCTGGTCGAGGCCATGACCCAACAGGTAACTACAAAAACAAGAAATGTATGTAAAAAAGCACATTAGTTATAAACTTAAAACCACTAGTTTATAGTCAAAGGAATAGGGACATTTCACATTTCACATTTCACATTTCACATCATCATAAGTTGAGAACGCCTATTGAAAATGTCCTAACAATGAACATTGCCAAACAGTAAAACTTACGGGATTCTGTTAGGTGATTGGATCCATGCGGGTCAAGAACCTGCAGTTGTACTCGCACGAAAATCATCTCACCCCTCATTAAAGTTTCACCGTCAGCTAAAAGCAAATTCTGGTGTAACTGGCCATCTGTCTCAGAGTCTCCCTTTGGATACAAGGTTAGAGTCCTGTAAAACATTATCATCCACTTGTTAGCAACTTACCACTAATGCACACATACAACAATATCTGTCAGAACAAGAAGACTAACCAATTCTTTTCTCCCATGTGAAAGGTTTTGGAAACGCAATCATTCTGTTTCAGACAAGAGAAATCACGAATGCTCCAAGAGAATTTGTGAAAAGGGAGATTCAAATCAACAGGGACGGGTGGTAAAGCAATCTTCACATGAGCACCAAACTCATGTTCTTCTCCGTACAAGATAAATCCCTTTGCACGGTCTTTGAGTGTTTCAACCGAGAGAGCTTGTGACAATCCCCAAACCGTTTTAGAAGAATTGAAACGTTTAACTTCAACATCTACATGTCAACATGTAAAAACACATATTACTGAATCATTCATATATGTATGCATACGAGAGAGAGAGAGAGATAATAAGGGTATGAGCAGACGAACCTTGAATAGAGAGGTACTTCTTCTCTTCCTCGCTAAAGACAAAGAAAGTGAGATGAGCAAACACATCAATGGGTGGTGTTGTCGATGAGAGACATTCCACATACATTGAAACAAAGCCCCTTCCATTGTCCTCTTCATTTCCTTTTGGGTAAACAACCAATCTCCTGATTTTTACAAAAAGGACAACATTTCTTACTTATATATGTATGCAGTGAAGAAAGATGTGAACTTTAGAGAAGAAAAATGTGAACTTTAGCGAAGAAAGAAGTAAACTTTAGCGAAGAAAAATGTAAACTTTAGCGAAGAAAGATGTGAACTTTCAAGTATAGAAGAAGATGACATACCAGTTGTGTCCACCGGAAGAGAAAGGAGGGGATTCGTATTTGTCGTTAGCAAGCTGAGAGAGTCTGACAAGAGAAGAAGAAGGAGGAGGAGTCTTTCTCCAACTCTTCAGAATCGCAGGATCTGATGCACATGAACCCATTTTCTCTACACAATGTTGCAACCCTAGAGAGCAAAACAAAACATATCCATAATCAGAAAAGAGCCGACGAAAATCGAGTTACATGATCTAAATGTGATACACAAGAGAAAATGACACAGAAAGTTATAGAAAGCTTTGTGCTTTTTTCGCTTAAAAGACTAAAGACGTTGAAATCTAGAAAAAGAATCGACGAACCTGAGAAAGAGAGAGTCTTGAGAGTGTATCTTCGTCACTTAGATCTAGGGTTAGATAGATAGTATTTATATAGAGGTGTTAGAGTTGAACAAACAACAACAAAAAGTTAATGTGTTAGAATGGGCCTAAAGCTGGCCTGGTTTGTTTTAAAATTGTTGGTTTGATGGACCTTTTCGATATCTCCAAAAAGGATTTGACCATTGAATATTTGAATCCCACAGAGATATCATCTTCTCTTGTATTTTGAGTTCTCGGAGGAAGTATGGAAGCTGGTTATATACCACACATTTCCTTACCAAACTTTCATATACACAAAAGTGAGAAACCATTATCAGCTGGCTTTCCACTTCATCAACAGACTATTAAACCATTTCGTGGCACAAACAATAATCTTCTACTTTTGGAAGGAAAGGAATCATATGCTACAAAAAAAAAAAAAGCGTAAGCCCTAAACAAACTATGTAAAAACTCTGTTTCAAGTTTGGTATAATATATATCATTTGCTTGTGGCTCAAATCCTTATAGCTTCCTAAAAATAACCTCAATTCAGCAATAATATCTTTTAGTAATTAAAGTGCAAGGACAACCTTTTAGTAATTAAAGAACAAGGAGTTCACAAGGACTAGAGCCTCTTGGCATCGCAAGGAGTTCTTTAACGATGTCATACTTTGGTTTTTGGTTATTATAAGTACCAAACCTTAATTTCTCCAGGACTGTTGAATTCTTCAGGAAGTATATTACTAGCTCCATTTCTCCTTCATACTTTGGGACTGATCGTTTGAATTCCACAAACTTGAGCGATGATGCCAAAAACCGAGGCACTACTGATGCTGCTGAGATACTTTGTCGAAGTAGCACTGAAACGGGTACGGAAAACGGCAAAATAAAAATTTCTAGATACGGGTACAGATACATGAAGTGAAATGGATACGAATGTTAGAATTTTGACATTGTTTTTCTCTGAATCATCTATAGACGTATTTTAGAACACTGGGATACACCGATTTTGAAGCTAGAATGTCTCGGAAACGTCTCTATATCCTCCCCACCTGATGTGCCCGCCTTGCTCGAAACGTCTTGAGGATGTTTCGTAGCAGTACCCATGCTGTCCCCATTTCCGAAACGTACGCGGTACGGAAGACGACTACCAATAGAAGTACCCGTGCTAATGTCGCGATCCTTGAGTTTTGGCATTGCTTGAAAAGTCCAGAAAGAGAAACCATGGTGACTCGCTCTTTTACATCAGAAGAGTATGAGAGAATGAGTTGTAGAAAATGCACAAGCACGCCAAATTAGCTAGAGCAAATTTCTTATGGTGTTGTTATAAGAAAAAACCGAAGGGTCAGTATCAGACATGAAGCTTTAGCAGAAGAGGTAAGACGCCTTATGATGATCAGGTACAATGGAGACTCTACAAGTATAGTATAATGATAAACAAAGCTTGCCAATAAAGGAACTGAACAACACTTGTCTCATAGTAAATCTAACAAAAGCCAATTTTAACTAAATTTGCCAACTATGTTCATCTTCAAAAGTGTGATCGGTCAATACATTATACATCGAACCGAAATGCATAGACTATAGTAATGAATCAATCTGAGCTGTGCTTGTAGTGATTAGGTACGTAGTTTTGGAAAATGAAAATGTAACTAGCTGAGAGTACTACAAGACTACTGTAACTAACTCTTGTTAAGTCTAGTACAAGACTACTGTAACTAGCTTTGAAGTGAAGCTCAGGAACAGACATTTATTGGTTAGTTGAGAGCTGTAGGTTTAATAAGGAGCTAGTGTTATGAACTGAGACATTCTTGATTGATCTAGGATCTTTGTTTCTTTGCTTATGTATGTTTGATCCAAAAAGTGAATAAAGAGAAAGAAAGATGGTGATTTTGTGAAATATTTATTCAAAATGGCAATTCACGGTTTTCTAAGTGATCTCTAATATGCCCTATAGCAAGAAGAGAATGCAAAAGTTGAATCATAAAAATATTTTAAGATCTTTAATAAATAGATTGATCTTAGGATCTTTGCTTCTTTGCTTAGGTCTGTTTGATCAAAAAAGTGAATAAAATAAAAAAAAAGATGTTGATTTTGGGCTGAAGAGCGAAAAAATTATTCAAATTGGTAATTCACGGTTTTCTAAGTGATCTCTAATCCACTCTAATATGCCCTATATCATTTGATGTAACCTTAATAGATGAGAATGCAAAAGTTGAATCATAAAAATATTTCAAGATCTTTAGTAAATTGTCAAAAAAAACAAAAACCAAAAGCAAGGATATATACCAAAACAAACATCAAATATCTAAGATCATTAATAAACGCATGAAAAGTCATACAGACATTGAGACATACAATAGTCAGACATGCATGGTAGATAAATAAATATATATCCTAACAATAGATAACTCCACATTTCAATTCTCTACGCATAAAACAAGTAGGTAAGTCCTAGAGGGCATTGTAGATACATAGATATCCTAAACATAGATAGACCGTTACTTCACATTCAATTTTACGCTTAAAACAGAGTAGTCCTAGACTCTAGAGTAGTAGACATGGCATGGTAGATATCCTAAAAGAAGGGATGGTTTTTGATGGAGTTAACAACTTCACATTCGATCTCCACCTCCAAAGTACCTTCACGGTCCAAGTAAGCCCCCTGAATTTTATCTAAAGACATGGATTGGGTCTTACCCCTTGCTTTGTTCGAGTTCATGAGCCAACTGTGAACTACAAAAACAATAAATGTATGTAAAGTACATTAGTTATAAGGAGAAGGACATTTGACATCATAAGTTAAGAACACCTATTGAAAATGTCCTAACAATAAACATTGCCAAATAGTAACATCAATAGTTTTTGACTTACGGCTTCCTGTTAGGTGATTGGATCCACGCGGGTCTAGAACCTTGAGGTTTACTCGCACGAAAATCAGCTCACCCTTCAATAAAGTATCATTGTCAGTTAAATGCAAATGCTGGGATAACTCGCCATCTGCTCTAGAGTCTCCCTTTGGAAACAAAGTTAGAGTCCTGTATTAAGACATTAACATCCACTTGTTAGCTAGTTAACACTAATGCACACACATACAACAATATATCAGAAAAAACAAAATTTGATAGACTCACCAATCTTTTTCTCCCATGTGAAAGGTTTTCGAAACACAATCATTCTGTCTAAGAAGGGAGAAATCACGAATAGTCCATGAGAATTTGTGAAAAGGGAGATCTTCACCAAAAGAGTCGGGTCGTGAAACAATCTTCACATGAGCACCAAACTCATGTAGTTCTCCGTACAAGATAAATCCCTTTGCACGGTCTTTGAGTGTTTCAATCGAAAGAGCTTTTGACAATCCCCAAACCGTTTTTGAAGAATTGAAACGCTTCACTTCCACATCTACAATGTTAACATGTATATACACATATCACTGATTCATTCTCATATATATATGCATACGAGAGAAAGAGAGAGATGATACGGGTAAGAGCATACGAACCTTGAATAGAGAGGTACTTCTTCTCTTCCTCGCTAAAGACAAAGAAAGTAAGATAAGTAAACACATCAATGGGTGGTGTTGTGGATGAGAGACATTCCACATACATTGAAACAAATCCACTTCCATTGTCCTCTTCGTTTCCTTTCGGGTAAACAACCAATCTCCTGATTTACACAAAGGACAACATTTTTTACTTATAGATGTATGCAGTGAAGAAAGATGTGAACTTTAGTGAAGAAAAATGTAAACTTTAGTGAAGAAAAATGTAAACTTTAGGCTTTAGCGAAGAAAGATGTGAACTTTAGTGAAGAAAGATGTGAACTTTAGTAAAGAACAAGATGACATACCAGTTGTGTCCACCGGAGACGAAAGGAGGGGACTCGTATTTATCGTTGGCAAGCTGAGAAAGTCTGACAAGAGAAGAAGAAGAAGGAGCATTCTTTCTCCAACTCTTCAACATCGCAGGATCTGATACATTTGAACCCATTTTCTCTACACAATGTTGCAACCCTAGAGAGCAAAACAACACATACACAAAATCAGAAAGGATTCTACGAAAATCGAGCAAAGTGATACACAAGAGAAAATGACACAGAAAGTTTTGTGCTTTTTCTCTTAAAAGACTAAAGACGTTGAAATCTAGAGAAAGAATCGACGAACCTGAAAAAGAGAGAGTCTTGAGATGAGAGTGTCTTCGTCAATTAGATCTAGGGTTTAGATAGGATTTATATAGTGGTTTTAGAGTTGAACAAAAAATAAAATAAAATTAATGTGTTAGAATGGGCCTAAAGCTACAAAGCTGGCCTGGTTTGTTTTAAAATTGTTGGTTTGATGGACATTTTCGATATCTCCAAAAAGGATTTTGATTAATTGAACCTGAAATTGAAGCTTAGCATCATTCTTTGGTTCGTGTAATGGGATGGCTGATTTTTCAGCCCTATACTAGTTACAATCTCAGTTTTCCACCCCAAACTTTTTACTTTTGAAAAAACCACCAAAAAAACTTTAATCTCAATAAAACTATACGTACTTTCGGATTTGTTCGTAAAACTACGCCTCCAATTGAACCGATCAATTAACCGATAATATTTAATCCGGTTTGACTTACCCAGAATTTTGACCCAAAAACAAATATAAAAGAAAAAAAATGTTTTCTCTATAAATAAATTTATTTATTTTTATTTATTTATTTTTATAAACAATTAAAATAATAAATTATAACTTAATTTTATCAAAAAATAATATTTAAACAATGGAATTTGTAAGCATGATAGCTGATTCTTAAATATATAATTTAAACAATGGAATTTTTGTTTAGAGAGATTATCATTTAATTTGTATTTTACTAACTTGTTTTCGTATATCCTAGAGCAATTCTCAATAATACCATCAACTGAGTTTTAGCAACCATTTCTTATGTGCAACGAGTTTTAGCAAACCATATTTACATAATACCACTGAATTTAGCCGTTCGTATATAACTTTTATTTTTCTTCTAAAGTCCGATTGTTTTATTATTTTTTAAAAATTTTTACATAGTTCTTGCTAGTATTATCTATCAAATTGATTCAGATACATAGATTCGGTCAGAAAACGAATTAAATTATTCAAAATTCACGGTTTTTTTATTGTACTTATGGTAACTAATAATAAAAGCATATTCCAAACAATATTATACATTAATTACGTATAATAAATTTGTTCATATATTTTTGGGACTAATTCCATAACAATCAACGTTTTTGTCATTAATTTCGTTCATTTTAGCCAATTATCATTAATTGAAAGATATTTTACTTGCTTCTAAAGATTTCTAGAAAATTTATCACAAATAACCCATCTGTTTTATAAATTAAATTGATATTTTTATTTTGGTCGTGTAAATTAAATAGATATGAAATCCATGTAACTAATTTTAATTTAATTAGATTAAATCGAAATTATGATATTTTCATACCTATAGCTTACCAAAGAAGTTTAATTTTCAATTTATAAAGATTTCTTGAATATGATTTTAGAATTATTCAACAAGATTATAAGTATTTATTAAATTTTGTGAATCATGAAAAATAATAATTAATTTTTAATCATTATACTTCATCTTTCAATCTCCCATCTAAAAAATAAGATACATATTCTATTATTACTATGTCCAAACTTCATTTTGTTGTATGACTAAATAATATTCCCATTAAAACTGTCAAAGCGAGTTGATTCGTCCCGTTAAATCCGTTTTGCGATAGACAAAAAATATTTTGACTTGTAGTTAGTCGGTCCGCACGACCCGCGGGTAGCATATATGAAATATAAACCCGTCCCGCGAATGTATGCGGATTTGCGGGATTGTCCATGGATTTTGTTTAAATAATTGTAAAGTAACCAAAATTTAAAATACTACTAAAATAAATAAATAAATCAAAATACTATTAAAAGTTTGTTTAAATTACCACATGTTGAATAAATTATAATTTTATCAATAAATACTAATATGCGGGCTGATCCGCCAACCCGCGGATGAAAACCGATTAAACCTATGACCCACTGCGAATTAATCCATGTGGCCCGCTTATTTGCGGGTTTAATATATTTTCCCAAATCTGCCCCATAGTGAGATGATGTGGGCTCGACCCGCGGTTTTTGACCTATTTTGACTGCTCTACTTCCCATGAATCGTCTAATTTTAGAATTTTAAAACACAAAATTCTATTTTGTAAATCATAATTAATACGATGGGTATATTTATAAACAATTTTACATTTTCTCTACAATTCGTTATTATGAATATTTATAAGTACTAGGGGTTATTCCGCGCTACGCGCGGCTAAGTTTTATAAATTATTATTTTGTTAGATATATAAATTTTGAAACGATTATTCAAAATTTCAAATTCAACATTTGACTTACAAATATTTGTAAGGAAGATGATATTATATTTAAAATGTATGTTGATTTTTAGCTTAAGAATTTCACTGAATAAAGTTTAAAAATATTATTTAGGTTTTTTTTTTTTGTCGTCGTCAAAATAACTTATATTAATTTGAATACAAATGGTTTGCAATCCAAGATGGAGGATTTAGACAATTAGAATTAAAGCTAGAACGTATGCTTCCATATTGAGCTAAATTATGAGCTAGCGCTACTTTGTTAAAACCGCGATTTACATGAATAAAACAGACTTCTTTAAACTTAGTTGCCCAATACGTAACAATATTATTTAGGTAAAGAATTAAAATATGTATTGAAATTATGATCAAATTTTTAGGACTCTGAATCTCATTGAACACACCATTACTCTGATTATCTTGATAATTAGCACTTATTTTTATAAGTCTCTGCTTTTGTTTTAGATTTAAACGTGGTCCTTATTTTGTACTACATAATTAACATCTGTCTCTTATTAACCTTAATGGAAAAAAAAAAAAATTAAGTGGAGGTCATTTCTCATGCTCATAACCTTGAGCTACCTCTTTGGAACGTATTATTCCTCTAGCCAACTTAGAGATGGAGAATATACAACCATCATCAATAATACTAAACTGAAGTGAGTGCTTACTTTTGGATTATGGAAGTCGATCGGATGATATCCATCACCACCGCTTCCGCTTGGTTCTCTGGTCTGTGCCTCAATTTTCGAACCGGTGGTCTCTATTAGAGAAACAATCTAAATAAGGTTTTCTTCTCATTGATTGTAAAATGTGATACAAATGTTGTTTATATACAATCTACTAACCGAAGTAAACCAAGATACATAAATACAGTAAACCGGATAAAGGAAACCGGATTACATATGCTAAAACACCCCCTCAAGATGGAGCTTCATAGAGATTGAAAAGTCCCATCTTGGAAATGAGAGTATGAAACTGTGTAGGATACAAAGGCTTAGTCAATGCGTCTGCAAGTTGATGTTCTGAACGCACATGCATTGTTTTGATGAAACCAGACGTCACCTTATCCCGCACAATGTGACAATCATTTTCTATGTGCTTGGTTCTCTCGTGAAAAACTGAGTTCTTGGCAATGTGTAGAGCAGCCATGTTATCACAATAAAGAAGTGCAGTGATCGGTTCTTTAACACCAAGATCCTTCATGATCTTTGCGATCCAAATCAGTTCCTTTGTGCCAACATACATGGCTCTGTATTCTGACTCTGTAGAACTACTAGAACAGACATCCTGCTTCTTAGACTTCCAAGAAACCAGAGAATCACCAATGTACATACAATATCCTGTAACTGATCTTCTTGATTCTGGACAGGTATTCCAATCAGCATCAGTAAAACCTTTTAAGGTAAGATCTGGATCAGAAGAATAGAAAAGACCTTTGCCAACACTTCCCTTTAGATAACGCAACACTTTGTATACTGCTTGGAGATGAACTTCTCTGGGAGCAGAAGAGAATTGACAGAGCTTCCCCACAGCAAATGAAATGTCAGGTCGTGTTGTACAAAGATACAGCAATTTACCAATCAACTTCCTGTAATGTTCTGGATCCGGAATCAGAGGAGTATCATCTTTGTGTAGAGAATGATTAGGCTCCATTGGAATGGAAGAGGGCTTGCATCCAAGAAATCCTGTATCCACCAACAACTCCAATACATATTTTCTTTGGCAAATAGAAATGCCTTTAGAGGATCTGGCAATTTCCAAGCCTAAAAAATATTGAGGAGCACCAATGTTTCTGAGCTTAAAAGCCTGTTCAAGTTGAGAAATGAGAATAGGAACCACACTGTCACAACTGCTAGCAATGATGATGTCGTCAACATATACCAAAATAATCACAAAAACACCATCAGCAAACCGTGTGAAAAGAGTATGATCACTGTGAGTAGACTGAAATCCCATTGCACAAAGAGTACTTGAAAATTTGAGAAACCATTGACGAGAAGCTTGCTTCAAGCCATAAATGGATTTTTGTAGCTTACAAACCAATTTGTCTTCAGAATTCTGTAGCAGGAACTTCATAACCAGGAGGTAACTCCATATAGATTTCTTCATCCAACTCCCCATTTAAGAAAGCATTAGATACATCCAGTTGATTAAGATGCCAATTCAACTTTGCTGCAAAAGCTAAAAGAATCTTCACTGTGGCCATCTTAGCAACTGGTGAAAAAGTGTCCACAAAATCAATTCCCTCCTCTTGAGTGTAGCCTTTAGCTACTAATCTAGCCTTATATCTCTCAATGGAACCATCTGCATTATGTTTAATCTTAAAAACATATTTGCATCCTATTGCCTTCTTACCAGATGGAAGAGGACAAACCAACCAAGTACCAGTCCGTTCCATAGCTTTCAACTCCTCACCAATAGCATCACACCACTCTTTTAGTTTCTTAGCCTCAGAATAGTTACGGGGTTCAAGAGTAAGTGAAATATTTTGAATAAAAGAGCAGAAAGAAATGCTAAGTTTATTATAAGAGATATAGTTAGATATAGGATAAGGAGTAGAAAATGAAGTATTATGTATATAGTAATCCTGCAAATGAGCTGGGAGTTTGGTAGGTCGTCGAGAATTTAATGCCAAAGGCAAAGAATTCTCAGAAGATATCACATCAATAGGAAGAGGTGTATCTGGAGATGAGTTTGCAGAATGCAAAGATGTATCATCAGGGTTTGCAGGAGAAGGAATATGAGGAAAGAAAGTCTGGGTGCCTTCTGTCAATGTAGAAGACACAAACGGGAAAAAATCCTCATGAAAAGTGACATGCCTAGAAATTGAAATGGCATTACTCTCTAAGTCTAGAACTCTATAACCTTTAAAGCCAGAAGGGTATCCTATGAAAACACAAGCTTTAGCTCTAGGATCAAATTTTGTTCTTTGCTTAGGAGAAGTTGAAACATAACAAAGGCATCCAAAGGTTCTAAGTTGACTATAATCACGTTCAGTATTGGTAAGAATCTGATAAGGAGTCTTGTTATCTAGAACCGGAGTTGGTAACCTATTTATTAGAAAGACAGCAGTCATGACACATTCCCCCCAATATGCTAAAGGAATTTGAGATTGAAACATTAAAGCTCTAGCTACATTCAGGATATGTTGGTGTTTGCGTTCCACAACAAAGTTTTGTTGTGGGGTTTCAGGACAGGAATGGTAAGCTTTTATTCCCTTAGCTAGATAGAGATCTGTGAATTTTAATTCTGGAGCATTGTCAGACCTAACAGCCTTAACTTTCACATTATACTGATTTTCAACTAATTTCAAGAAACCAGGGAAAACATGTAAAACATCAGACTTTGACTTTAGCAAGTAAATCCAGGTGGCCCTACTATGATCATCTACAATTGTGAGAAAATATCTATAACCATCATGAGTAATTTCAGAGAAAGGACCCCAAGTATCAATATGCAACAAATCAAAAGAAGAAGAACATATATTTTGATTTGAATTAAAAGGTAAATGTTTTTGTTTGGCTAATGGGCAAATGTAACAAAGATGATTCTTATTCTTTTTATTTGATTTTGAAATTTTTAAAACATCAGAAAGTACATCAATCCTAGACTGAGAAGGATGTCCTAGTCTAGAGTGCCAGAGATTTGCATTAACAACATAAATAGATGAACATGATGGTAAAATAGAAGAATCAATGCTACCTTGAATTTCAAAAGTGACATGCTTAGTATCAGACTGAAGAATGTAAAGATTGGACACTTCACTACCCTTGCCAAGCATCAATTCCTGAGTAAGATCCTGAATAAAACAAGAAGTGGAAGTGAAACTGACAATGGATCCCAATTGTTTTGTTAACATGCTGACACTAAGCAAGTTAAAACGAAAAACAGGTATGAATAATACATCATGTAAAAGAATAGTACTACTAAGCTGCACAGAACCTATTCCAACAATGCTCACTGTAGTTCCATTAGGCAAATTCACAAAGGTATTAACTAGGTCTAGGAAATCTAGGAACCTATCCCTACTGTTAGACACATGATGAGTGGCTCCCGAATCTATAACCCATGAACTACTAGTAATGCCAATTTCAGAGGTAGAAGAAGTGAGCATGTCATAATAGTGGAAGGATAAAGTGACAGAAATGTACCAGATATCGGTTTGATACTTGGTACAGAAGTAGAAGTAGAGGCTTGAGACACTGCTAGAGTAGGAGTGATACTAGAAGTGTGAAGCTGTCCACTACAGTAAGAAAAGATATCTTGGAGTTGATTTGCACTCAAAGCTTTACCAATGAGATCTGAACCTTTACAGACTGAAGTAGGAGCACTTGAAAGACTCAAAGATGCCACATTTGCACTAGGAGTGGTAGTGAGAGTAGGTTTCTGCATGGAAGGTGCAGGAACATCAACTACCTGAGACTGAGGAGGCTGTGGTGATGGTGGAGAGGACTTCTTCTTCCCTGTCCACCCAGGTGGATATCCATGAAGGCGATAACACCTGTCTTTAAGATGACCAACAGCTCCACAGTAAGTACAAAGATGGCGAGGTCTCTGAGGATAACTAGCAGCATTAATGCTCCCTTCATAAACTTGAGTAGAACCAGTAGTAGAGACTTGAAATGCAGAAGGAGAAGGTGATGCACCAACAAAACCTTTAGTTGCAGAGGTTACATTCCTTTGACTCTGATCTTGATCCAACATGTTGTATATATCACTGAGACTAGGTCTGTTCTTCTTGTTGATGATTTGACCTCGTATATTAGCATAGGAATCATTCAGCCCCATAAGAAATTGTATAACTATGCTAGTTTCTGCATCTTCCAATAATTCTTCAACCTTTCCACAATTACATTTGCATATCTTTTGCGATTTTGTACTGGCTAACTTCTGCCATAATGTCTTCATCTTTGTATAGTAAGTTGATAAATCCAGAGAACCTTGACGCAATGTCAGTATATCCTGTTCCAACTGATACTTTCTTGGCAAATTACTGATGTGAAATCGCTTCATCAAATCAGTCCAAACTTCAGCCGCATCATTGAAATACAGTATACTGTCATAAATCTCTTGATTAACAACATTGAGAAGCCAAGATTTCACCATACTATTACATCGATTCCAGATTTTGTATACAGGTTCAGATTCAGCTGGCCTAGGCAACGATCCATCAATAAAACTCCATTTTTTCTTAGATTCCAAAGCGATCGTCATCGCAATACTCCAACTATTGTAATTAGATCCATCGAGTTTATGAGTAACAAGAGATAAACCTGGATGATCACTAGAATGCAAGAAAAAGGGACTGTGAGAGCTATCGAAGGATTCAAGTCCAGAGGAGATCCTTTCAGCTGAATCACGAGCCACATAGCTTCCAACAGTTCTTCGATCGTCATTAACAGCTCGAGAAATCGGAGATTGAGCTCGCTTAGACGTACTCGGAGAAGTCGGAGGCGTAGAAGAAGATCGAGCTCGCGTTTTCATTCCTTTCTTCGCCATGGAAATGAGATAACAACGAACCGATTGAAAGATAAAGAGAGAAGAGAAACGAATGCGGAAGAAGAATCCGATCGGAGAATGATCGGAATGAGAAGATCGCACCGCACAAGTCACCGGAGAAAGAAAATTTTCATCGCCGGCAAAAGTTTGTTACGGAGTCGCTCTGATACCATATTAGAGAAACAATCTAAATAAGGTTTTCTTCTCATTGATTGTAAAATGTGATACAAATGTTGTTTATATACAATCTACTAACCGAAGTAAACCAAGATACATAAATACAGTAAACCGGATAAAGGAAACCGGATAACATATGCTTAAAGTCTCTTTCTTAGATTCTTCTTGCCTTCAACATTTGGAAACTTGATCTTCCACATCATCCACCAAAGTTTCGACCTTGTGATTATTCTCTTGGTCTTCTCTATAAATAACATTTGCCTCGTAATGCTTGTTTCGAGGGAATATGATTTCATCGTGAAAAACGAGCAAAAATAGGAAGAGAAACCGAATAGGTTACACAAGATTCATTGGGAAGGGAGAATTTAATAAAGGTTGAGGTAGAGAGGAGAACTGGAGAAGAAACGATTCGGCTTTGGCCTAATAAAGTTTGCGTTTAGGTTTTGACTTTTGACTTTAATTAGTACCGTGTAAAATTGGATAACGTGGCTTGCAGAGGATTGTGAGTGAGAGAACTTTTGAGAGTTGATGACGTGGCAACTTGAGAACACATTGTTAAAAAACTGAGTTGGATAGCCTCAGAGGCCTCAAACAACACTTTTTATTAGTAAGAGATACTACACGATTCGTTCTACTAAAAACACACACAATATTAAACGCAACGTATGTAAACCAATATTCTCCCGCGGTGGACCGCGGGTCCGATCCTAGTACCACTGAATTTAGCCGTTCGTATATAACTTTTATTTTTCTTCTAAAGTCCGATTGTTTTATTATTTTTAAAAAAAGTTTACATAGTTCTTGCTAGTATTATCTATCAAATTGATTCGGATACATAGATTCGGTCAGAAAACGAATTAAATTATTCAAAATTCACGGTTTTTGATTTCTAAGTGATATCTCTAGTCCACTCTAATATGCCCTATAGCATTTGATGTAACCATAATAGCAGAAGAGAATGCAAAAGTTGAATCATAAAAATATTTCAAGATCTTTAATAAACCAAAAGCAAAACAAACATTAAATAACTAAGATCATTAATAAACGCATGAAAAGTCATACAAACATACAATAGTCAGACTCAGACATGCATGATAGATTAATAGATATCCTAAAAACATAGATAGAGCGTTAACTTCACATATATAGAGCGTTAACTTCACATTTCAATCTCTACGCAACAAACAGAGTAGGTAAGTCCTAGAGTAGTAGACATGGCATGGTAGATATCCTAAAAACAGGGATGGTTTTTGATGGAGTTAACAACTTCACATTCGATCTCTACCTCCAAAGTACCTTCACGGTCCAAGTAAGACCCCTGAATTTTAGCTAAAGGCATGAATTGAGGAAGACACATCGCTTTGGTCGAGGCCATGACCCAACCGTTAACTACAAAAACAAGAAATGTAAGAAAAGCACATTAATTATAAACTTTGTACCACTAGTTTATAGTCAAAGGAGTAGGACATTCGACATCCCAAGTTAAGAACATCTATTGAAAATGTCATCAGCATCTAACTTATCCCTTGCATCAGCGCTGACAATAAACATTGCCAAATAGTAACATCAATAGTTTTAGACTTACTGCTTCCTGTTAGGTGATCGGATCCACGCGGGTCTAGAACCTGCAGGTTTACTCGAACGAAAATCAGCTCACCCTTGAATAAAGTTTCACCGTCGGCTAAATGCAAATGCTGGGATAACTCGCCATCTGCTCTAGAGTCCCCCTTTGGATACAAAGTTAGAGTCCTGTAGTAAGACATTAACATCCACTTGTTAGCTAGTTAACACTCATGCACACACATACAACAATATATGAGAAAAGAAAACTTCTGATAAACTCACCAATCCTTTTCTCCCATGTGAAAGGTTTTCGAAACGCAATCATTCTGTCTGAGAAGGGAGAAATCACGAATAGTCCATGAGAATTTGTGAAAATGGAGATCTTCACCAAAAGAGACGGGTCGTGAAACAATCTTCACATGAGCACCAAACTCATGTAGTTCTCCGTACAAGATAAATCCCTTTGCACAGTCTTTGAGTGTTTCAATCGAAAGAGCTTTTGACAATCCCCAAACCGTTTTAGAAGTATTGAAACGCTTTACTTCAACATCTACAATGTTAACATGTATATACACATATCACTGAATCATTCTTATAGAGAGAGAGAGAGATAATAAGGGTATGAGCTTTTGACAATCCCCAAACCGTTTTAGAAGAATTAAAACGCTTTACTTCAAGATCTACATGTATAAAACACATATTACTGATTCATTCGTTATATATAAAGAGAGAGAGAGAGAGATAATAAGGGTATGAGCATAAGGACCTTGAATAGAGAGGTACTTCTTCTCTTCCTCGCTAAAGACAAAGAAAGTGAGATAAGCAAACACGTCAATGGGTGGTGTTGTGGATGAGAGACATTCCACATACATTGAAACAAAGCCCCTTCCATTGTCCTCTTCATTTCCTTTTGGGTAAACAACCAATCTCCTGATTTTATATAAGGTTACCAAAAGACAACATTTCTTACTTATATGTTTATGGTGAAGAAAAATGTGAACTTTAGCGAAGAAAGATGTGAACTTTAGCGAAGGAATTCGTTCAACAAGAATGTTTAATTTGCACATTGATTATGTTTTGGCCAAAGTTATTTTTTAAATAATTAATAGATTGACCAGACACTCCAAGAGATATATACAGATAACTGCTCCAGAAAACACATTATAGTAACTCAGCTTCAGAAATAAAATGAAACAAGGCAAATTTTAATGAACCATTCACAATCACAAGTCACAAGAACAACAAAAATCTAGGAGAAAATAAATAGTTTGATTATTAATTTATCGCTAAGTAAATTTCAATTATATATAAAAAAAATCAATTATATCGATAACTTCTTATGAAAGTAAAATGCGATAGAAATAGAATGCAAATACATATGAAAGAAATCCAATGCTATACGTTAAAAATAAAAGACATGAAGTGAAATATATACATTTTCTTATTAACACGACATAACTTTAATTTTTTTTTGTTTTCTCTACATACAATCTTGGAAGAAAATGGACACCAAACATAAACACGCAAACAAAACATCAAACCAACCAACAAGCAAACATCAAGCATTCACAAAACCCGGTTAATTACACTCGGATCTCTCGGGTTTCTACCGCTTCATAGGAACCGATGAACACGTCACCGTAGATAAGTCCGGCGAGTGCACCACCCACAAGTGGTTCCACCCAATAGATCCAGATTTGGGACAAGTCACCACTCACAACAGCTGGTCCGAAAGACCTTGCTGGGTTCATGGAGCCACCACTGAATGGACCAGCAGCGAGGATGTTGGCACCAACTATGAAGCCGATAGCGATTGGAGCGATGGTCCCAAGCGATCCTTTCTTTGGATCAGCTGCTGTGGCGTAAACGGTGTAGACCAAAGCAAAGGTCACTACGATCTCCATCACGATACCTTCGACCGCTCCTAAACCGGCTGCGACTCCGTGGGTCGGTACGCTCTGCAGCAAACCGGAAAACAAATCATTTTATACCCTTAAACCGTTTTGTTTTTGAAACGTAATAATATTTTTGTCATATAAACTAAACCGAGTGAAACCAAAACTTTACTATTTAATTTTTCTTACTGATCAAACCGAATTTGGTAAAACTTTTCTAGTCTAACCAAATAAACTGAAATTCATAATTTTGATTAACATAGATAATTTACTGTGTTATTGGTTTATTGATTTGTAAATCCAAATAGGATTTGAAAATCTTATTAATGATGAAATCAAGACATGAATTTTGAAATAACATGTGTTTATCTATGGATTTGAATCCTTCTATTTTTTTTTCTTTCAAATCCATTTAAAATATAATTTGAATTTTGAAATCTAAAAGCAAATGACAAAACGAATAACATAGGATTTTAACTAATATTTATAAATTATGGAACCAATATCACATGATTTTAGTTAGGATTTTAAAATCAATGATTGAATAACAAATAATTTTTATTTGAATTTCCAAATCCTTATAAATCCATGAACCAATAACCCATCATAAATTTGTTAGAAATGATTTACCAAATCAAACCGAAAGTTATGATTCAAACCAAAGGGAACCGGAAAACAACAATATATCTCTCTGGTTATTTTCCACCTAATAAACCCAACTCATAAGAGTTATCAAATCAAACCGGGAAAATATATGTTCTATATCGGTAAAAATTCTACTAAATAACGTACGTAAAGCCAACCAAAAAAATAAAAACCTAAATACGGTAACCTACAAACAGAGCCGGTCCTAGCCACAAGCTAGGGAAGCATGTGCTTGCGGCCCCGGATGTAGTTATTAATATATCGGCCCTCTTTTTTCAAAAATTCTCTTATAGCTCAACTGGTTAAATGCTTGATGGAAGAATGTGAGGTTGAGGGTTCAATTATCACAATTGTAGAAATGCTTTAACAATTTTTTTGGGAAGAATTAGGCCTTTTTTTTTTAAGCTTGTGGCCTTCAAAATGTTAGAGCCGGCACTGCCTACAAAACTGATATATATTCATGATCCAAACCGGAGAAACAAGAATAAAGCCACTCCTATGCCTACTACTATACGTACCTTTCCATTGGTAACAAAGACGAGGAGAAGACAAGCGACGATGGAGCCAAGACACTGAGCAATCCAGTAGAAGAAACCTGTGATGAGTGTTATGTTTCCGCCGATGGCAAGGCCAAGAGTCACTGTTGGGTAGTGCCGGTCCAAACATTTTAAGTGCCCTAAGCGAAAAAAATAAAAAATTATTTTGATTTAAGTGTTCTAAGCGAAAAAATATATTTTCGAGTTTACTACAAGAAAACATAGCAATTTCCGACGAACATTTCCGACGAAATGTTTAGTCGGAATTATTCCGACGGATTTCCGGGGAATTTCCGAAAAACTTTCAAGAAAATAATATTTCGTCGGAAAGTCGTCAGAAAAATAAAAACTTTTCCGACGATTAACATTTCGTCGGAAATATTTGTCGGAAACCATGGAAAATTCCGACAATCCAATGTCATTGCAAACTGCTCGGAAACTTGTCGGAAAATTTGTCGGAAAAAACTAGGTAAACACGTGATTATTCACTGCACATGTTCCGACGAAATCCCGACAACTTGATCGAAAAAATTAGTCGGAAAATTAGTCAGAAATTCTAAAGTGGTTACCTTTAATATTTCCGACGAATTTCCGACAAAATATCGTCATGAAGTTCTGTCGGAAATTCGTCGGAAATATTACAGGGTACCACTTTAGAATTTCCGACGAATTTCCGACAACACTTTCCAACGAAGTTCTGTCGGAAATTTGTCGGAAATATTAAAGGTAACCACTTTAGAATTTCCGACGAATTTCCGACAAACCTTTTCGACGACATTTTGTCGGAAGTTCGTCGGAAATATTAAAGGTAACCACTTTAGAATTTCTGATGAATTTCCGACAAAATGTTAGTCGGAAAAGTTTTATATATATACTAGACAACGAAAGAATCATAAACACAAGAAAATAGTTGGAAAAAAAAAACACACAGACAAGAAAATCTTGGAAAAAAAAATGTCTTCTCATAATATTTATAAAATTAGAGAGTGGATGTATAATCGTTTAGATGATGAGACCGGAGCTATGAGGCAGGAGTACAAGGAAGGTTTAATGGAATTCATGCAGTTTGCATCTAATCAAGAAATGACGCGTATCGAAGGTATTATGGCATGTCCTTGTGTCAAATGTTGTAATGATCATTTTCTTGCAAAAGACATTGTTTGGAATCATTTATATTGGGGAGGTTTTACACCAGGATATTATATATGGTTTTCTCACGGGGAGGATTTTAGATCGGGTCCTAGTAGTAGTCATGAAAGAAGAGATGAAAACGTTATAATTAGCGATGAGCATATTCACCAGGAAGAAGATAATGTAATTGGAATTGGTAGTGGTGAAAGAAGAGATGAAAACGGGACATTTGTTGATAAAAAAGCTGAGGCAATAGCTCGTCGATGTCGGGAGATGGAGAAAGAGAAACTTACACAATTGAGTCAACATGAGGACACGCCTGATGATTATCAACTCACCCAAGCAGAAAAAAACGATATTTTCCGATCGGTAACTAATAGTAATTAAAATATTATAATTTAGATAATATGTTTTATTTCCTAACAATATTTTCATTATAATAGCAAGTTGAAATTAAAAAAGGACGTAGATTTGGATTCGGTTCCATTCCGTTTGACGAAGACATGGGCGGAAGTTCGTCAGATTCACATGCACACGTGAATTGTCAAGAAAACGCAGCCGAAATGAAAGAGTTGAAGATTCAATTAAAAGATTGTAAGTTTTGGATGGATATGATGGCCCGTCTTCATCCCGACCTCGTTCCGCCTTCTCGCCAAGATCAACCCGGAAATGAAAATGAAACAAACAACATTGACAATCTATTTGATAATATATAATATTCGCGTTTGTAATAATTTTTAGTTGTTTAAGAACTTATTAATGTTTAATTATGTTTTTTATACTAGATTTGAACCCGCGGTACACCGCGGGAATATAATTTTTTTTAAAAAAATCTAAATATAATTAGTTTTGTTTATTAGTAGAGAGTATAATATAATATTTCGACTTATTTTATAAATGTACCATCCATATATCTATATTAATAGTTTTGAGTATATTAATTGTGTTTTAGGTTTAAATGGGATATTTATATATACACTTAAACGACATTTGACTTTCTTCTTCTTCTTGCCTCAGTTTAGGAGAAAGATTTTTCTTGCGGTACACCGCGGAGCTATTATTTTTTAAAAAAGATTTTTCTTCCTTAAACTTCCAAATCTAGATTTTACCCCGTGGTACACCGCGGGTTAATTTTTTTATAACTAAAAAATTATTTTGCAAAGTTTTAAGTTGTATTTGTTTTGTTAATATTGTTTATTTTGTTTAGTGTTTCTGATTTATAATTAAATTTTGATTTTTAATTCTAGGATTTCATCCATAGTATATTGTTTAATATTAATATTGATCTAAACCCGTTGCACCATATAACTCCGTCCCGTAAAATTAAACATCATTTGTTATTTTTTTTGAATAATATTTTTATCCACTACGGGTCGCAGGTTCATGCGGATAAGCCCGTAGAGAGTTGCGGGTTTGCGGGTCGACCCGCCAAAAGGGAAGCTATCTTTTGAAACCCTTTGTTTTGTTTAGAAGTTTTAAGAAAATATCCCTAAAAAATAATTTTCATTATATGAAAAAAAAAGAAGTAGAAGAAATTGTAGTATCAAATTCCCGATTTTTACATCACTCGTTACAATTAATTTTTTTTTTTGCAGATAAAAATCAGAAGTTAACTAAGTCGAGATTTTTAAAAAGATTGTGTAGAGATTTTTGGTAAATTGTTGAGAACATATTTGATTTCAAAATCTTTACTTAAATAGATAAGGAAAGATTTTGTAGAAACTTTTGTTAAATATATGAGAAATGAATTTCAATTAAAATTTTTTACTTTAATTAAACAAATCTAAATAATTAATGCTAATGGCATGTCATTGTAAATACTTCTCAACTTCAGGATTTATTTGCTAATTGTGATCCAAAAATGTATATATAGATTATTTGGTGAATTTTATTTTTTTTAATTATGTTTATTTATGTTTTTATATAATATTTGTGTTTGTTTTATTGAATTATTACAATTAAATTAAATTAATATTATTTAATTTAATTAATTACCAATAAAATATAAATATATTTTTTAATAAAATATAATATTTCGTCGGAAATTCATCGAAAAATAATAAAAAAATACGATTTGTCGGAAATTCGTCGGAAACTATTAAATATATTATTATATTATATTTTGTCGGAAATTGGTCGGAACGTTCCGACGAACTTCCGACGATTTTGGTCGAAAAATCCTCGGAATCGTACTCGATCTTGCGGCGTCGTCTCTAGTAATCTCCTCGGAATGGCGTCGCTATTCCGACGGACATTTCCGACACCTTTCTGATGGGCTTTCGACGAACATTTCCCACGATTTTCCGACAAATATTTCCGACGAATTTTCCAACAACTCATCTCGACAGAAATTTCTGACGAATTTCCAACGAATATTGTTTTCCGACCAGAGAATTCCGACAAACTGGGTGTAGTCGGAATTTGCTATGTTTTCTTGTAGTGACTATTAATTATGAGATATTAGCAGTATAAATAAACCACTAAGCTACATATTTAATCACTATGAACTTAATTTAATGATATGTATTAGTGTTTTTGTGGATTATACAATAATTTTAACGATTTATATTGAAGCTACCATTGTTTACACACTAGTTAAATTAATTCATACACCTATTTAAACAAAAATAAATGATGGACCTATATGACCATTTATATATATGCATGACTGAAACTCTAAATAAAAGAATCTTGAAGAAAAAAACCAGAAAATAACAAAATATTTACATTAAAAAGTAATAAACAAATTACATATATTGGGATGAAAGACCTATGTTAATATAATGTAATCAAGTCACGTGTGAACATTTTCTAATATTCAAGCCAAAGCCGTAAGCGGTCGCTTATGTTGCTTACCCTCAAGGCCGGCACTGCTGCTGGGTTAAGGTGACCACCAGATATATTAGCCGCAATGGAAACTCCAACGAAAAGACAAACGCGTGAGCAATCGCAATCGCTACAAGACCAGCCGGGTCCAAGGCTCCATCAGAGGTTAGTTTGTCAAACGCTATAGCAGAGCCAACACCGGCAAATATGAAGAGAAGAGTTGCGATAAACTCAGACAAGTAAGCTTTTAGAGATGATACACTGAATGAGTCACCCACACTTCCAACTTCGATCTTCACCATTTTTTGAAAAACTAGTTTTTGGTTTTGTTAACTTTTTCTATTTTATGTTATTTGGGCTTTGGATGGGCTCTTGTTTATATATAGCGAAGAGCAATTGACAAAAGGTGGGGTTGATAATGATATTACGTGGCAGAATCATTATTGGATGCCGCCCAAACTGCCTCTTATTTGATTAATGGAAGGTTAGCAATATTAAACATGTTTAGTGTCAACTATAGTGGGATTTAATAACATGTCAGGATAAGAATCTTCTGTTGGCATTTTGCTATCCCGCATTTTAAAATTAATGTTGTGTCACACCAATAATGATAATGGTCTTTGTTATTTTTGTGTTTCTTATTGGATTAGATAAGTAGGGAGGTACTAAATTATTAGTAGGGATTTTAAGTTAAATCCAATTTGCTTTTTTTTTTTTTTTTTTTTTTTTTTTTTTTTTCTGTGTGGAATTTGACTGGGAATATTTTACAAGGAAATCTAATTTTTAACTAGCTGCGATTATGACTATTCACAAAACTAACATTATACTGAATATAGATATATTTGTATAAACTTACATATTGTATTTCTAACAACAATTTGTATGCCTTCTTGAAAATTTAGATTTCATAGAAACAAACATGTAGTCGCTATGGAATATTTGGTGTACTATTTTCTTTTAAATTAATCTTCTGACGTTCAACGTTGTATTAAAATCACGAGATGTAAGGTACATCGAGTTTAAGGAAAAATGAGGTAATAGCATGTGCCATGGACATGCAAATTTTATCCTATTTAATATTTATGAATAGTTTTAATTATAGCAAAATATTTATTTTTCATAAATAAATTTGTATTTTAGTAAATATATATTTGATATATATGTACAATATAGAATAAATCTATGCATAAAACTAAATATATATATATCTATGAAAAATAAAGAGAAATTGTTAAAAATGCCCCTTTTTCAATACCCCTTTTCAAAAATGCCCTCTTTGAAAGTCCATTTTTAAGTTTGCCCTCTTTTAATTTTTAATGACCATTTTACCCTTATTTGAAACAAAATTAGGTCCACAAAATACAAAATATTTTTTGGCGGGAAAAGTGATCCCGCAATTTTCCCGCCAAAACACTTGTAAAACCTTTAAAATACCTTGTAAAATTTTCCCGTAAAAATTTTTCCCGCCAAAAAATTTTTTTGCGGGAAAAGTGATTTCGCAATTTTTTTGGCGAAATTTTTTTGGCGGGAAAATTTTTGGCAGAAAAATTTACAAGGTATTTAAAAGGTTTTACGGAGTATTTACAAGTGTTTTGTAAGGTTTTACAATGTATTTTAAAAGGTTTTACAAGTTACAAATAACTTGTAAAACCTTATAAAAAACTTGTAAAACCTTATAACTTATAAAACCTTATAAAATAGCTTGTAAAATCTTATAATATCTTATAAATACCTTATAAATACGTTGTAAAACCTTTTAAAATACATTGTAAAACCTTATAAATACCCTGTAAAAAACCTTTAAAATACCTTGTAAATTTTTCCCGCCAAAAATTTTCCCGCCAAAAATTTAACGCCAAAAAAATTGCGAAATCACTTTTCCCGCAAAAAAAGTTTTTTAGCGGGAAAATATTTTGGCGGGAAAAATTTTACGGGAAAATTTTCCAAGGTATTTTAAAGGTTTTCCAAGTTTTTACAAGTGTTTTGGCGGAAAAAATTGCGGGATCACTTTTCCCGCCAAAAAATATTTTGTATTTTGTGGACCTAATTTTGTTATATTTCCTTATATATTTGTGATATCTTTTATTAAAAGAAGGGTAATTTAGTTATTTTGTACATAAAATGGGGTATTTTTAAAAATGGACAGCCAAAGGGGGCATTTTTGAAAAGAGGTATTGAAAAAGGGGCATTTTTGTGAGTCTCCCAAAAATAAATTCAATATTTATTTGTGTTTGGCTATTGGTTTTAGAATATTAAGAACAAAATCAAAAATTTAAAAGTGTTTGACAAAAAAATCATGACAATTATGGGCTTGCAACATCAGCAAAAATAATTCAATTTTAATATATAGAGGATGATCAAAAACGTATTCAATTAGTTTTACTTTTAAATAAAGGTTTGACATTAAGTAATTCGTCTATATTAACCTACATGTGGTGCTATACAATTCATGTAAATTATACAAATTAAGCGATTAGATACTTATCCAAACTTTGATGATAATTGTAGTTGATATTCGAATAGTATTAAGTTAGAAAGGGTATTTTGTTGAATTTCGAAAGGTGATCCACAATGATGGCCGGATTATCTAAATGTTATTTTATATTGCTGAGCCAACGATTTTCACGTTATATTTAGACGAATAAAAAATATTATACGAAATTAAAACCTGACATATTTCGGTTTAGTCATCAAAAGGTTATTTACTCAATAGTTTATGTAGTGAAAAGGTTTAGGACATGGATAACATAAATTAATAATCGCATGTTCTTTTATGTAGTTAGCAGTGTAGCTGCCACGTAGCCCGGGACCGAAACCCAAATTAACATCCGAAAAAACCCGAAGATAAGCAAACCCATCCGATGGTTGAGTCAGTAGTGTTTCGTCATCATAATTAAAAGATGCACAGCCATTGAATATTTACATTTAGACTATTTACATTGGTTTTGATTTTACAACACCCAACATTCTACATCATCTTCTCTCTCTTCCAGATCATAATTCAACACCTATATAATTTTTACTCTCTACAATAGTTTTGTTTAATAAAATTACAACACCTTACCCCATAATTTTTCTTTTCATATTTTTCATTTTATTTATGTTTAAGTTTTTTGTGATTACATATTATTAATCACAGTTAATATCAAATGAATCTAAAATAAGTAAAAAAAATTTTTATAAGATAATTTTTGTTTTTATTTTATATATCATTTTATTTTATTTTGTAAATAATAAAAACGAGAAATACAAATAGTCGTTAATAAAACACATACATTGACGAGAAACTTAAAATGCAATACAATCAGCACACAACACAAGTAAGGAAATACTCATCACTTAATTGATACAATAATCTCAACTCACAAACTAATAAATCTCATTCACCACCGAACATTCCCCTCTGTGCCCATATGTGTTTGACTAGATCTGCTTGAAGTTCGTGATGTACATTTGAATCACGCAAATCAGATCTAGCACGCACATGATTTGCAAATACAGGTAGAACTTCGGTCGAGAATGGTTATTGTGTACTAGACCTACTTGCCTCAGATTGATCATAATCATTCCAATGTTAAGCATATGTCTCTCGTTCATCCTCAACAATCATATTATGCAATATGATACATGACCTCATGATGATAGCCAAATCGGTTATGTCCCACATGCGAGCTGGTTCACGAATGATTTTAAATCGAGCCTGCAACACTCCAAATTCACGTTCAATGTCCTTGCGACATCCCTCCTGACGTTGTGCAAATAACTTGTCGGGTTCACTTTGAGGCAGCCTAATCGATTTAACGAAAGTGAGAAGGATAAATACCGTCAGCTAGATAGTATGCCATATCATATGGACGTTGGTTCACGAAGAATTTGACTCTTGGAGTATTTCCCTGTTCAACATCATCGAAAACCGGTGAACGGTCTATAACATTTATATCGTTCAAGGTGCCGGGACATCCAAAAAAAGCACGCCAGATCCATAGATCATGAGATGCCACTGCTTCAAGTATAACAGTGGTGGTTCCCTTATCGCCTCGAGTAAATTGACCTTCCCACGCCGTAGGACAATTTTTCCATTCCCAGTGCATGCAATCAATACTCCCAATCATCCCCAGAAACCCTCGCATCTCACTAACACGCATAATTCTCTGCAGGTCATCTTGAGTTGGGGCTTTGAGATACTCTTGCTCATACAGTTGTATGATTCCTTTGGAAAATCTTCGCAAGCACTCCAAAGCAGTAGTACCTCCAATTTTGATGTATTCATCCACTGCGTCGGCTGCCACACCATATGCTAACATTCGCATGGCCGTAGTACATTTTGCTAATGGATATATACCTTCTTTCTTAGCTGCGTCAAATCGTTGGGTGAAGTAGTTGTCGCTGCATGATAGGTCTCCAACGATCCGAAGAAAACCATGTTTTCGCATCCGGAATCGCCGACGAAACATTGCATTGTCAAGTGTAGGTTGATTGGCAAAGTAGTCGTCAATTAGTCATTGATTTGCTGCTGCATGATCTCTCTTGAAGTATTTTCTTTTGCTACGAGGTGGATAGTCTTCTTCTATTTTGTTTCGGTGCTCTCTAAACCGGTTGATGATATACCTCTCTTCAATTTCAGACTGCTTTTGGTAAGCTTCGATATCAAAAGGATATTCTGATGGATCCATTGAGATTTTTTTTAGTAAGATGAGATTTGTGGTATTTTTACATCAATGGAAGAAAGAGTCCCTATTTATAAAAAAATAGTTAGAAGATTGGATGCGAATTGAGTGGTTGAAACCGAAAAGACACGGATAAGGATAAGATTCTCTTATTAAAAGCCAAAATTCACGGATTACATTATTAAAGCATAACATGACAATACAAATTAATAAAGGAAGAAAGTGACAAACACACATTATTAAAGCATGACGAAACAATACAAATTATTAAAGGAGATAATGACAAACAAACATTACTAAAGGAGAAAAGGACAAACACACATTATTAAAGCATGAAGTGACAAAATACAATAGCCACTTGACAACAATTAATTTCCAAATAAATCGTTGCTCAACTTCTGCAACAGCTCTTTACCCTTGTCGTCGAGATGTTCCTTTTCAGTTAGCTTGAGATACATCTTCATCTTTTTAGCCTGGGTCTTTTCTTTAATCAATTCGTTTGTCTCCCTTTGCAACATGGCTATGTTGTTCAATAGATCCAACTCTTGCGTCTTTAATTGTTTGAATTCATTCCTTTCTTCGTTGACCACTTCCAAGGCTGTGCCCTTACCTTTCTTTTTAGCCATTTTCTTAGC